AGAGGCTCAGGCCGGGCAAGGCCTCCGAGAGCAGCGAGGCCAACCCATCCCCTAACGCCACAGATCAACCGGCCCTGGCACTGACACGTCCAGGGTGTCCTTAACCCCCCAGGGGGGTGACTCCACCGCCTCCCCCGGCGGCACAGTCCAGGGGCTGATCGCCCCGGACGGGTCTTGTAGGGTTGGACTCGATGGGCTTGGAGGTCTCTTCCAGATTCTATGAACTTCCTCCTAATGTCCAGCCTAAACCTGCCCTGGCACAGCGCGAGGTTTACATCCTCTTATTCTGCATGTGCTGTGTCCTGCAGCGCCAGTGACAGGAGCTGTGTCAGTGCCTTCCTGCTGCCTGGGCTGAAACACTGTAGTTTGCAGCTCTTGAAATTAAAAGTACGTCCAGATGTCTGTTAATGTATATTTCAGTAGATCGTGGTAAGAAACTTTAGGTAAATATTTGGGTTTCTGTCTTTGATTGGCTTTCCCATCTGTGGGGTTAGGGATTGCAGTGACAGGACAAGGGGAGAATGGGTTGAAACTGACAGGAGTTTTAGATTGGGTATCAGGGAGAAATTCCTCCCTGTGAGGTGCTGAGGCTCTGGCACAGGTTGCTCAGAGCAGCTGTGGCTGCTCCATCCCTGGAGTGTTCCAGGCCAGGTTGGATGGGGTTGGTGGGCTGGTGGGAGGTGTCCCTGCCTGGGCAGGGATGAGATGAGCTTTAAGGTCCTTCCAACCCAAACCATCCTGTGATTCTGTCATCTTAGTGGATTAGTGATACAACATGCTTTAAAGTCAGGAATGCTCGAGGAATTTCGGGGTATAGCAGTTCCATATGGTAATATTCTCACTTAGATCAGATGTGGTTACCTTGCATTTCCTTCCTGAAACCCTCCCAAAGTAATCTTTCCTATGTGAATTACAGTGTGCTTGTTGTGACTCTTGCAGATCTCAGATCAGAAGCCCCTGGGCTGTTGGTCAGTCAAACATGGGCAGATTCTCACCTCTCCTGTCGTGTGCAACACTGAAACTCAGGAGTACATTGCTGTCCACGACAACAGGGTGAGCAAGAGCCTTTCTCCTTCCTGAGAGGGAAAAAGGGCACAGTGGTGCTCTGAGGGAGTGTGGATAGGGAGGACAGCAACAGTGCTGCATTTTTGGCTTGAAGTGTTTCCTCTGTGTACTTGTAGTGTTTGCTTAGATCATGCTGAGCCTTTGCCTTTGCCTTGTTGTTGTAGATGAAGTGTCTTTCTGACCTTTCATTGCTCAGGGAACATTCTCTTCCAGATCAGTGTCTTAATCTTTCTCCATCACTTTGGTCTCCATTCATTTAGACTTCTGTGTCTTTTTTTCTTACTCTTTCTCATCTTGTCTTTCCAACTTAGGATTTCTGAGCTTGTTTTCTGTTGCTGTTGTCTCTGCTCCAGCTTCTCCCCATGCAAACTGCCCCTGGGGCAGTTCCCACTTAGGCCACTGTGAATACTTTCTGTGTATTTCCCTCCTGTTGCAATTGCTGCTGTTTTGTGTGCTGAGGACTTTGTATGTGACTGTTTTAATGATCTTAAAAATTATCTTTCTCTTGAAGGTTTTAAGAATATGGAAGAATGAAGACATTAACTTGGACAAAGCCTTTAAAGCAACAGTAAGTCTCTTCCATGTGTTTGCGCTTATGTGAACATTTTGGGTCCTGGTGGAGGGAAGGGATGCTCCAATTTTCAGAGTACTGGTCAGATTACAATTTAGCTCATCATTGGCTTAACTTGTGCTTCACTATGTTCTGGAATATTGTAGGGAATCCACTTGGACTGAGAGGCTTTGTCATCAAAATAGTTCCCCTAAAATGATTAATGTGCCAAGGCCAAAATTCCCAAGGACTTTGTTTAATGCTGTGAATGGTGTTCAAATACAGGTGTTTGTGTTGTGCTCTTGGGTGTGTTAGACAGCACTCTGTGCTTGCTGTAGAGCAGTTGTGTGACCCACTCACCTTCAGCTGTGGCTTTTCTGATGTGACTCAGGAATGTGATGCTCACTGGGACACTTCTGTTACGAGTTCACTGGCAGAACTCTAAAAAAGTGAATGAAGCATTTGCCTGTCAAGGTGATGTCCTGAAGAACAGGTTTTTCTCTGTCCTATGCAGCTTTCAGCAGATGTGCACAGGATCCATTCCCTGCCCAGTGTGGGCCCAGTGGTGCTGTTCAGGGGTGGAGGTGTCCGGACACTGGATGTGCTTTTGGAAGCTCCACAACAAGAGATTGAAGATGTTATCTCAGATGAAGTCATCAAGTAAGTGATGCAGCTTTGTGACATTTGTTTCATAGTGCGTTAAGGGGTTGGAATGATGCTCAGAGCTCACCCAGCCCCAACCCCTGCCCTGGGCAGGGACACCTCCCACCAGAGCAGGTTGCTCAAGGCTCATCCAACCTGGAATGAACAGTGACAGGGTTGGGGCAGCCACAGCCTCCCTGGGCAGCCTGGGACAGTGTCTCACCACCCTCACAGGGCAAAAAACCCCGTCCTGATAATATAATCTAAATTTCCCCTCTTTCAGTTTATTCCCATTTGATTCTTGCTTGGAGGAGTTGACCATAATAATGAAAGTTGTTCCTTTTGAGGGGATAGGGGAGAAATCAGAGCTTGAGAACTTGGGGATGGGCACTGTTTTCCAATAAATTGTTTTTGAAATATTTGTACAGATATCCTGAAAATAGGAACTGCCTAAGGAACAGTGATATGACCTCAGGTGTTTAGAATTTGGAAGATGTTCACACAGCTTTCTGGTTTTAGGTGGAGTGAAGCCTTTATGGAAGGTCAACAACCTGTCCTGATTTTCGCTACTGAGAAAGTGAGTTAAATACTTCTTTTTTAAAAACAGCACATTTTTCTAACAGCAGGTTTTTTCTATACAGCAGATCTAAGTGCATTTTCCCAAACCCATTACCTGTTTCATTGGATTTTGGGAGCTTCTGGTTTAATCAGTCCAGGAGTTTAGTGAGGCTGTGCTGCTCCCAGGGCTGAGGAGCCTGGACCTCAGAGCTGCAGAGAGCAGTTAGGTGAACCAGCAGACATTGTGGCTCTTCATTGCGCATGGTGAAGAATTTATTTCATGGGATTTATGTTTTTAAAAGAGGAATCCTGTGTGACTCTTTGTCAAATGCTTCTCTCTGTGAATCATTCCCTCTGTGCCTGAGTCTGCAGGCTCGTTTGAATTGGGCTGTGTCCTGTAGGAAACACAAACTCCTCGTTCTGCATAACATTCCAGGTTAGGCAGCACTGATATCTGAATTTTGGTTACCTCTTCCCTGTGTGAATTAAAGGAACACTTTCTTTCCTGTTTTGTTTTAGGGTGAGGACTTCTTTGTCTACGTGCAGAAGCCTAAGCTGGACAGTCTACACAAGTACAAGCTTGAACAACAACAGCTGTCCAAGCCACTGAGTTTCACAGCATATATAAAAAACCAAACTGTCACACTGCTGTGCTTGTGTAAGTTATGTTTCCTTGTGTGAAAGGACATAAAATGTTGATATTTATGAACTGCTGTTTAATATTAGCTCTTTGAACCTACTAAACCAACTAGAAGTAGCAGTTAAACCTTCCTGATGTTTTACTGGCTACAAATGGAGACTGTTCCTGCCTGTTACCACTTGCAGATCTCCTGCTGCACCTTTATTTTGCTGCTTTGCATCATAATGTGTCTTTCAAATACCCTGTATTATTTCAGCATTCACTGGATTTTGTTCCTTTTGGATGTCCTTTTGCCATATCATATCAAAGAGCTTTTCCCCCAAAACAGAGCATAAAAGAGTAATCACTTTTGTTTTTACAGATTCCAATGACTCTGTGTACAAGATCCTGATACCTCTGCAGCAAGATGCTGAAAAGGAAGAAGAAATTTTGCCCAAGTCATTACTACTGAACCTCTCAGTGTCTGGAACTGTGCTGAAAGGAACATCTTTGGTTGTCCTTGACAAGGACCACGTGGCAGTGTTGGGCAGTTTGGTTTCGTCTGATAAAGAGCCCAAAGGTAACATGAAAAATTGGATTAAGATGTTGTAAGGTCTAAAATTTCCTTAGGCAAAGCACTAAGCAGGAAAATTGTGCTGTGCCTCTTGCCACAGCTTTGTGTTTAAAGCTCTTCTAGGAAAACCAACTCATCCTGAAGTGCTGAGGTCTGACCTGAGTGATGTAATTCCTGGTGCTCAACATTCACTGGCTGAGCTGTTTCCAGACAGTTATTTCTGTGTCCTCAAGTGTTTGTGACTGAAAGCAACAAAGGCAAATGTAGTGTTTGTGTTGCTTTCCAGGTTTGTGACGCCTATCTTTTATTTTCCTTAGAGTGCCTAACCATCTGGAATACCAAATTCCAGACACTTCAGGCCTCCAAGGAGCTGCCCCTGGGAACCAGTGGCCAGGTGAGCTCAGTCCTGGATTTGTGGTCCATAAGGGCCATAAGTGCCTGACAGCAGGGGAGAGTGGTGAGCTGCAGAGCTCTGCTGCTGCTGGGGGAGCAGGGAATGCCAACTTCTGAAGCAAAATTAATATTGGCCAGTTGATGAGCTATTTCTGTGGGAGTTATTTAGCAGGAGATTGGTAGCCTGTGACATTTTCTCAGATAATTCAGTACCTTCTCACTTCTGATGGTCTTGGTTATGTGGTGTGAGTGAAATCAGTAGCTAAACAGAAAACCCAACCAGTGTCTGTCCTGTTCACAGCCTCAGTGACTCTGTGATCTCCCTGAGTGGCATTTCAGGATGTTCAAGTGTCACATAAGCAATAAATGCAGTAGTGAACTAGAACACCTGACTGGTTTTGTCTTCAAAATACACAAGAGAGAATTTAGAAAGGGAAATTATCAGTGGACTTAATGCCTTGGAGCATCCACTGTGCTTTAGGACATCCATGGAAAATACTCAGCAAAACACTTGTTATACTTCTGTGTCTAGAATCAACAGCTGATGCAGGTCTGGTGACAAATGTTAGACAAAGTGGTTGACATAACCTGACCACTGACTGCTGGTCAGGGCTTGCAGGAAGGAGTTAAACATGAGGAACACTTCTCTGCTCATCTCATTAATGATGTTTTCATGTTCTGCAGTTATGGTGTTATGAGGAAAAATTCTTCCTAACTCATGGGAAAGTGCTAACAGTGATTATGTACAAATGTGAAACATCTTCCTTGGCAGCTGCTGTGGGAAAGCTCAAGGACAGTCAAACCTCTGGTAAGATTTTGTATAATTGCAGTGAAAAGATCTCGTAAAAGGAAGACTTGAAATTGTATAAAGGTAATTTGAATGCAATCCTGTAAAATCAGTTGGATTTAAACAGCTTGAATAACCCAGCACTGTTTTGTGTTCCTGACTGTTAAACTTACTGTGGCTGGGAACACTGAGGCACACAAATGTCTGAATTTATGTGTCTTCACCTAACCTGGTTTGTCACTCTGATCCTGGAAGTACTGAAACTCCTGCGATGCTGGTGAGAAATCTGAAAGCAAAATGAAGTGCTGCTTCCTAGTGAATGTTTTCAGAGAGTTGGTGATTACATAGGGCAGTGTCAAACCTCAGTTTGTGGACTTTAGTTGCAAACTGTACAGTTGTAGTGGTTTTAATTAAGCATTGCATTGGAACAATACTGTTGCAAGTAATGTTCAGGATAAATTGTGCAATGACTTCTCTTCCTCCCAGAGGCAAAAGGGAGAAACAACATAAAAAGGGTCATAAAATTACCTGTTGCTGAGACAAACTGGCAACTTTCTTGGCATAAAAGCACTTGGATTATACTTCAGAAATCTATCCTAGCATAAGAGGTTGATGCAATATTCATACTTTAATTAATGTGCTCAAAGTGTTACCTTCATATAGTTTCCTCTTGTGTTCACAGATGTGTCTTCATTTGTGAACTGGAATACTCTGGAAGATGAAGAGCTGGTGGTTTCCTTGCAGTCCCAGGAGTCTGTGGCTCTAAAATCTGAGTCCAAAATGACTGTAAGTTATCAGGATCACCCGTGGGTTTGTTCATCCTTCTGCTCCCCATGCTGCTACTTTTACTCAGAGGAAATGTCACATTATAAGTGCTAGTCCTTGTTTCTAACAGCGGGTCTGGAATTGGAGTTACAAAGTTTCTCAGTTAATTGTGATCTGTGCAGCAACTTGACAGTTTCTAGTTACCTTGCTTGAAATCCTTAAACTTGTGCCATCTTTTGCTTTTCTTTATAATAGCTGAGGTCAAGAAAGAACAGTGTTGCTGAAGCAGAGCCTGAGACCTTATCAGTTGGACAGTTCTTGCTGCGTCTCAAAGTAAGTGAACCAAATATCCTCAAGTAGTGTTTAGACACTGAGAATATTCTAGTTGTCTCTTAAGTTGTCTTTTTCCATGTCCTACTTAACATATCAGCTTAACAAAGCTGCTTTGAACACGTGAGTTGAAGGATATGATGATGATGCTAGAAGATAATTTGGCCAGGATGAAATTAAGTTCTGTTACAGGAGGAACTGTACAGTCCATGCTTGAGAACTGAGCAGCACAAGAGGTGATAACAACTGAGTGCTGAAAACTTGCATAAATTTGTTCCTTTTTAATGACAGTCCTCTCTCACAGTAGATGAGGTGAGAGGATGTTTCACCTGAGCTCTGATTTTATAGGTTCTTATTTATGCCTTTTATTTTGTTAAGGCATTTTGTCTCTGGAAGGTCTGAATGGTAGGAATTCCACTGCAGATAACAGCAATAAGCTGTTCAGTTCCTCTCTAAGACTTGCTGCCAGTGTTGGTTTAGGTTCAGTTGCATCCCTTCCCTTGGGAATGTACCTGTAGTTCACCTAAGCCAAAACCAAGTCTGTTTCTACGTGGTCTGAGGGCAGGTGGACCAGGGCAGGGCTCAAACCTGTGCCTTGTGCTTCTGAGTTGCACAATATCTGTCTTTTTCAGGATGCTCCTGGAAGTATATTGGAAAATGAATTGAGACAATTGCTGTCAAGAGCAGAGACTGTGGATTTGCAGGCCAACATTGGGTGTGTGGTCAGTGCCCTTATGAACAGGTGTAAAGCAAGTCCAAAGTATTACCCTCAGAATTTCCTGCTGCACATAGTCCAGACCCAAGACTTGTCCTACAGGTAATGATTCTGCATTTCTTGATTTGTAAGGAGTAGCTTTTAAAAATAGGGGAAAACTAAAAGCAGAAATCCAGTTCTCCATGAGGCACTCTGGGACTGTCAGACTTTGCTGTCAGAGGTGCTTGTTTCCTGGTGAAGCTGATGTTTTCCATAAAAATCCAGCTGGGGAGCAAGATGAGTGCTGCTGCCTTAGCTGTCAGCGTAGCTCTCAGTGGGGGAGGACTGTGCAGCCTGTTAATTCCATGTCCTTGCAGTCTGTGTCCAGATCTGATGGCTGTTGCTTTGGAGAAGAAAGATGTGCATCTCTTACAGACCTGCTTACAACGTTTTCCTGATATTCCTGAGGAAATTACTTATGCTTGCCTGCAAGTGTTTCTGAGGTAACTTGAAATCACTCCTTGTTCTTCCCCAGTTGTACTATCCGTTTTCCCTTTCACAGTAAGCTTCAGAGAGTTCTGTGTCCAGATCTGATGGCTGTTGCTTTGGAGAAGAAAGATGTGCATCTCTTACAGACCTGCTTACAACGTTTTCCTGATATTCCTGAGGAAATTACTTATGCTTGCCTGCAAGTGTTTCTGAGGTAACTTGAAATCACTCCTTGTTCTTCCCCAGTTGTACTATCCGTTTTCCCTTTCACAGTAAGCTTCAGAGAGTTCACTCTGTCATTGTGCTCGTTCTGACTCGAAAGCTGAGGATTCAGTGACTGATTTTCTCCTGCAGCGTTAGTGAAGCTGATCTGCAAACAACAGATATCAACCTGGACTCTGTGATCTGTTACATTGACGTGGAATTCAACAGCAAAGAAGTTAAGACTGAAGTCGTGGAAAATGGATTTGATGTGGAGCTGGAGCAGGAGGTGGATGAGGCTAAAACCCCAACCCCAGCCCAGTCAGAGAGTGATGGTGACTCCTGCCCCGTCGGACCCCGGAAAGCAGCACTGTTGTATCCTCTGTGTAAGGCAGTGCATTGTGTGTGGTGCATTGTCTGGATATTTGTACTGGTGCAGCCAGGACACACCTGTCACTGCCCAAAGCTTCTTGAGTGCTGAGAGGAGCATTTCCTGCTCTGCAGAAAAATTGAGAATGTAAATAGAAACATTTAACATTTAGGAAGCATCAGCACCGATTCAAACTGCCATTATTGCAGAAGTGAAATAACACTTTGTTCAAGGGCAAAGGACCTCAGTGATTTGGGTGTTTAACCACAGCAGCTAATCACATCCTTGCAGTGCACAGAGCTGTTGGGGCTAAGTGTATTGTGATGTTTCAGTTGCTGTAGGTATTTCATGGCAGGAATCAGGAAGATTCACACAGGACCTGTCTCAGGGAATCTAGAGAAATACTTCATCTAGAGTCCTCTGGTTTGTAGAAATTGGTGTTTTTCCTGCAGTTTATTCCCTTAGCAGCCCTGCCCAGAAATGCTGTTCTCCTTTCAGCTTACAGTGAAAGTTTTCTTCTGCCTCACCTGAAAAACCTTCCACCTCGGCAAGTTATTGTAAGTATGTTAAATTAAACCTTTCAAACCCTGATTGTTTTGGGGTGAGGGAAAGGGAAGAGTTTTCCAGTTGTATATCAGAAACTCAACCACTCCCAGGAGTCTGAATAACAAACTAAGGCATGAAAATGAAATGAAGATGCTTGATAAGGTTTCATGTTAAGGAATTTTTCCACATACATATGGGAATTTTACTAATTTTTGTAGTTCTTCCTTAATTAGAAAACACAAGTAAGAAACCCTCTTTATGTCCCGGCCTGGCTGGAAAAGGTTGTTCATGTTTTGTTAGCAGGTTACAGAGCCTTTGCTTGATTTGGTGCTTGCTAAGAAAGGAGCAACACATGCTCATTTAGTCAGTTCCATCAGAAACAGAAGTTTAAGATAAGAGAAAGAAACTCTAAACTGTGTATGGTGCCAAATGAAATACAAATCAAGATGTTTAGGGAAAATAACCCAACCAAACTCGCCAGTTCCTCAAAACCTGAAATGTGACTTCAGGACCAGAGCATGTATGTGATTTTCCAGTGATTTCAGCAAAAACTCATCAGAGCAAATCTGATCTCAGTGCTGACACAGCTCCTTGATTTCTCTTTTGGGGAGAGAAAGAAATCTTTGGCTTGAGGATGTTGACCTGATTGTGACCAGAAAAAAAATATCCTCATGAATATTACTATTTGCAGGACAAAACCCTCTGGTTTATGTGATGTTTGTCATTTAAAATGTTCTGACTGACCAGAAAAAAAATATCCTCATGAATATTACTATTTACAGGACAAAACCTTCTGGTTTATATGATGTTTGTCATTTAAAGTGTTCTGACCTTTCTGCTTTTAGCTGTTCCTCAGGTATTTGTACTACCTGTATGTAAAATGCAGTGAAAAGGTTAACACTGCCCTCCCTGGAATACACTCTCCAACTATAAATCAGGTGAGAAGCTCTTAAAATATCCTCATGAATATTACTATTTACAGGACAAAACCTTCTGGTTTATATGATGTTTGTCATTTAAAGTGTTCTGACCTTTCTGCTTTTAGCTGTTCCTCAGGTATTTGTACTACCTGTATGTAAAATGCAGTGAAAAGGTTAACACTGCCCTCCCTGGAATACACTCTCCAACTATAAATCAGGTGAGAAGCTCTTTCTAAGAGTTGTACTTCTTCTCTTTCTGTGCTGTGTAACTTAGTGAGTAGCTGTGAATATCTGAATCAGCTCAGACCTACATTCATTCCACAAAGTACTGTCCATAATAAAACCTATGATCAAACCCCAAATCTACAGCCTTAAAGTATGAAAACCATCCATTGCATTAGGAGTTAATGTTTGAGAGTTGAGCTTTTAAAGCAAAATCTGTGTCCTCTGCGGATTGTGAGGTGTAAGTGAACCTCTCTTGTCTGTGTGCAGATCATGGACTGGATGTGCCTGGTGCTTGATGCTCACTTCACTGTTATGGTGATGCTGCCAGAAGCAAGAGATTTGCTTTCAAGCCTGCATAAGTTTGTGAGAGCCCAAGTAAGTTGCACCTTTGGGGGTGGTTGTTGCATTTTTAGTTGGATTTGGAATATGGGGGTTGAGAAGGGAGAGAAGGCAGACAACAACAGCAGCTGTTGCCTCTGTCTCATTCTGCCTTTAAAAGCTGTTGTGTGTGTTTGGTTCAAATATCTGAAACTGTGCAGAACCACAGGTAGTTCCACAGGATGGTGATGCAGGACAGGAACTAACATGTATTTACCATAAAACTCTATGTTTTCTTCCGTTTAGGTAAGGTTCTACTCTGAACTCAACAAGATTGAAGGAAGTTTGCAGGAACTACAAAGGCTCAACCACCAGAGAGACTCTCAGACATACTCAATTGAAGTGCTGGAAATCATTTGAATCTGAAATTCATTCATAACACGTGTGGTTTTTATCGATTCCTTTTCTGACAAGGATATATTAGCGCTCCATATTGGGGATGTGAGAAGTTGTTTTCTACATAGGAGGAGCCTGGTTACTCTCTAGCTACATGGGAGTTGTAAGCCAAACTCGTGTATTAAAAGGTCTCTTTTTGGCTGGCTGAGAAGCTGGAGGCTGATACATCTTCATGCTGAATTTTGATACCTCATCATGAGAACATCCTCAGATGCCACATGATGCTGGGCACAGAATCAGCAGGATATTTGCAGTGAAGCTTCAACAGGTGTTTGATCAAATGAGTTGAGGTTTTATTCTACTTGTTTCTCTTTTGCTTAATAGTTGAAGTGTCTAATTAGGTTCTGAGAATTCTCTTGTCTCCACGTAGGTTATGAACTGTAGATGAACTCAGTGGAGTTTGCTGCTTTGAATGTTGTATTTTAAGTTGTCTTTGCCCTGTCCCAAAACATTGACTTGCTTAGCTAAGGGAGCTGAACTGTTACCTAACTCTCTCTTGTTTCTCTCTCCTACACATCATGGGATCACAGCTTGTTAGTGAACCTTTTTGTGCTTTCCTTTCCAGCCCAACCAGCTCCTTTTATGCCACATTAGACAGAGAAATGGGAGGGAGAGGGTTGTGTGGTGATCAGTGGTTAAAAACTTGAATGACAGTAATTGAAAGCTGTTCTGACACATCTCATCTGTCAAGACCACCTGCATCCAGGAGCTGCCTCCAGCTGGGAGCAGGGAGAGGTGTACAGCAGGAACTAGACTCTTTCAAACAAAGAAGCCAAGTAATTTAACAGGATGTCTTGTCACAGTCTTTATCATCAGCTGAAGACAACCTCTGCTCATGCAGAGACACTGCTGCTCTGGAGCTCCCTGTCCTGCACAGACCTGCACAGTGGGGCTACTGGATTTTCAGCACAATTAGTTGTGCTTCAAGATTGCTTTAGACATTTCTGAACCTTTCTGATGTTGAGAGATTGCATCTTAGTTTCTGCTTTTTAAATACTCATCCTTGAAACCTTCCCTGTCTACATTGGAAGGTTTGGGGGAGGGAGATGAGCATAAAAATAACGTTCTGGTTAAATTTGATGCTGTGGACTTTGGGGTGAGTTGGGTATGTCTAAGCTGACCATGCCAGCATAGCTCAGGCAGGAGTGAACACCTTGCCTCTCAGAAGGAGGCCGAGAGCTGACCTGAGCTGAAAATAACTTCTTTTTCTGGACAGAGATTTTTCCTTCCTAGTGCTGACTTAAGCCTGGTTTGAATAAAAGGCTCCTTAACCTTTGTCAGGTTAAACTTGCTTGAGAATGAACAACACTGTCCTTCTCCTCCCTAGTGACAAGCAATAGGACAAGAGGAAACAGCCTCAGATTGCACCAGGGGAGGTTCAGATTGGATATTAGGAAAGATTTCTTCATGGAAAAGGTTATCAAGCACTGGCACATGCCCTGGGAGTGGTGGGGGGGGACCTGGCAGTGTTGGGTTAGTGGTTGGACTCAGTGATCTTACAGGTCTTTTCCAACTTGAGTGATTCAAACGTTGTTGTGAACAGCATTGTCTTCCTTTCTCTGGCTGGAGCTAAACACAGGATGGTTACGGTGGAAGTGCTGGTGGCAGAACTTGCTGGGCTGGGGCTGTGTAGCTGTGAAAGAGCTGCACACAGTTCCAAGCCTGAAGAGCCTTTGGAGGCTGATGTGTTCTAGTTAAATCATACACTGCTACAGGAGGTCAGTGCTAAATTCTTGTAAAGGTAAAATTTAAAAAGATGCTGTAATGGCAGCTGAATTGGATTTTCTGAATAAGAAAACTCATCTCTAATTTAAATGAAGAACATTCTTACCTGCATCAGTTTGTTTTCTCCAAGTATTTCTTCCAAGGAGTGAACACCTCAGCTTAGTTAACCTCATCTATGCTGCTTGAATTGTAGCATTTCAAAGTGTATCTCAGCTTTAGCTTTGACTTTAAAAAAAAAAAGTAACTGAAATGTTCTGAAGACATTTGTTGAAGGTTTTACAGGTAAAAGCAGCTGTTGAATTATCCTGATTAGGCATTCACTTAACACTGACTTGTTACAAGCTACTTGTGGGACTGAATATTCATGTAAATGAAAGCTCATCTGGCCTAGGGGAAAATGGGACAGAGAAGCATAATGTTGGATTTCCTGGAGCCTGGGATGAAATGGGTGGTTGGGGACAAGATGCATCAGTGCATATTCAGAACAGCAACTAAGATGTTAACTTATTTTTATTAATGATGTGGTTGAATATTAGTATAATTCAGCCTATCAGTATGTTGATACACTTTGTTTTTCATCCTACCAAATAAATAGCAATTGGAAACGTGTGGAATTATCCCAGCAAAAGTCATGTAAGCCCTTGGATCCTACACCTGAGTTTTAGTGTTCGGCTGAGCTCTGGTGTTACTCAGCAGCACCTGGATGTCTTAGGGGGATGTACAGGGAACTGACTCACGAGCTGAACACTGAAATTCAGTGCCTGATGCAAGTTAGGAAATGATTTGAAGGGAAGAACTGGACAAAAGCATCTCCATAATTTAAGCAGGAGCACATGCTGACTTGTTCTGAATGTCATCCAGCTGTAAGTTCTTCACTTCTTTCCCCTACCCCTGGAGAAAGGAACCCACCCAGACAACAGCTTGGAACAACTGTGCTATTCATCTCCTCCAAAGGGCCTTGTGAAAGGAGTCTTTCTCCATCTGGCTGGTAGAGCCTCCAACCAAAAATTCCTCTTCCTGCTGTATTCCATTCACTTACAACTACACCAGCAGACTCCAAACAGGAGCTTCACATTCCTAGTTGAGGTATGTTCTGGTTTTGGGAGTGGACATGGGCAGGTGAGTAGATGAAGGGGTTAGGGTTGACTTGTCTGTCCTGAGAAAGGACTAATTTATAGTGCTGACCCTGAAAGTTGGTGTGCCTCTCTACACATCTGTCTCTCCACCTGTAAAATGGAAATTATTTGTGTCCCATTCAGTAAGGAAGTACTTCCCCCATCACCAACTGACAGAGATGGGATTAAGAGGCAAAGTGTTCTTGTTTGCAGTTCAAATGCTTCTTAGCAGCTTTGATCTACTACAGGCACACAAACTCCACAGCATTTCGGAGATGTTAACTCTGCAGGCTCTGGTTAGTGCAGTAGATGCACTCGATACCTTTGCTGGGTTCTCAGTGTGCAGATGGCAGAGTGTAGAGTTATTTTCTCTTGAGATCACAAAAGGAGATAGTGCAATAACCTCCTCCAAAACACACATCTCTGTATTCACGTGTTTAAAGACTTACCACAGCCCTTTGCAACCTTGTGAGAGGCTGCAAAAATGAGCCTGACATGAGCAATCTGAAGGCAATGGAAAGGTTTGAGCTAGAGATGGAGTGTAAAGGTGTAAATGGGGTTGGGCAATGTGCATCACACTGTGTCTAGACACAGCTCTGAGTCTGAGCAGCTGCAACTGTGAGTGCAAAAGAAGCAGCTAAAAAGCTGGACATGAGTGCAAATTGGGCTAACCCTGGTGCCATTGTTGTATGCCTGATGCTGCAGCAGGTTTGTGGGTTTAATGAGGTGCTTGGCCTGAGCAACAGGCTAATGATCAAAAGGCTCTTCAAAAATTGCTCCAGAAGAATGCAATGAAACGACACGTTGGCCATGGAGCTGCCACACTTGGGGCATGGCCAGGGTTGGGGTTTGCGCTGCTCAGCAGCATAAGCAGGGGACAGGGAGAAAATGAAGGTGTGAGCAGACTGATTTGCTAAGGAGAAGAGCTGAGGCTCTCTGAAATCCCAAAGCTGGGGAGATTTAGCAGTGAAAGGAAGGATGGGCTTAAGAAATGCAAGGGATTTGTGTGCCTTGGGTTGGCTTTCAGTTGGTACTGAAACTGCTACCTGGAACCCAAGGGGTGGCTTTGGAAACCAACAGTGCGACTGGTTCCTGTAGATTTTTAGCCCTTTGGGAGCTCTGTCAAATAGGTGAGGTGTGGGCAGTGGGCACAGTAGGACAGGTTTGGC